ATGATAAACACAATAAGAATATGATATCTTTACTCATAGTTTGGGAAAAAATAATACACACGCATTCATAAAATGGAATACTAGAAGTATACCCCGGATACCCCCAAACATGGAGAGGGAAATAAAACCTGTTCTTTGAATATTTTACCAGATTTGTTATATTCTTTTTCACCTCATTTCACATTATTCCCATACCTTCCCTAAATTGGGCCCCTGTAAAGACTTGGAATGGGACCAGGTTCTCAGAACGAGTAAGCATAACCTGTCAACCGATTCCATCCAGAATGAGCCTTTGAATTGATTAGGTTAAGTTCGTTAATCCGTAGTCAAAATTAGTGTAAAAGTTATGGACTAACAATTTGCTGGAATCATGTAAAATGTGACGAAAAACGACCAGTGGTCAATCTCATAAATCCAAACAAAACGAATCGTGAACAGAGTAAAACACAAACCCCTGGAAACACCAGAGGTGGGATCAGGTGTCTTAGAGGAGTAAACATCCCTTGTTGACCGATCACACCCGCCGTGAGTCCTATGTAATTGATCAGGTATACAGAGAGTACTCCGTAGTCAAATTTAGTATAAAAGCAATGACCTAACAAATGGCATCAATCAAACTTTTACCATAGATAGGTTGTATTTACAAACAAGGCTATTATATTAACCATAGAATAAGCGAAATTCTTACTATAAAGGAGATGGTTGATTGCTTAAACATTAACAGATTTTTCAGCAGCTTGCCTCGATTTTGAAAATTGATGGTATTCAGAAGATGCTTTGCTGCATTGAATCAGAGTTGAAACAGTTTACCATTAATGTCTAAAGTCAGTACAGCATCCAAATTTGAAACAGAGATGGTACGCTCTGTTTATACGTTTTTGCCTTTTATTTTAACTCTCTGAGATATATCGAGTCAACCTATGAATAAAAATAAATATTGTTAATTGAGAGACTTCATTGATATATCTGAATGTCAAATTGAAGGCCACGGCAAGAGTGTTCTTCTCATGTTGATGTTTTTGTATAAATTCTGCTTCATAAGAGTGAAAAAACAGGAGGTTGGCTAATATATGAGAACAAGCTGGTCTTCAATTATCGATGAGGAGATCCAGCAGGGTTTTATAGGACTTATCGCATGTTCCTAAATTATTTGAAATTAAAAGCGTAAAATGTTCCTTATGACCACAGTATATACATTTAGTGTTTTTACTGCGGAAAAACCACAGTAATTAACCAATTAATGACTCAAATGAAAACCCCTGAATTAAAAATCTAAATCTAATTAGATAGCGATCACGTGAATCTGTGACGTCAAAGGCGACAATGGCTGATCAGCTCTTCACGCTAATCTTGCTAAAATATACGCGATACAACCTGAATTTTCTGCGTTGTGGACGACCAAATCACTGATTCTCTAGATACGAATTTGAATATCCAACCTTATATTTTAGAATTGTCAACAAGGAAAAATCTGAAAAATCTGTTAACATTGTAAAAATAGCAGCGACGATAGCGAGGGAAACACGGCGAAGACGAAGAAACTCGCCATCAAAATACAATTTGATTGCCATCTTATCACGTGTATTAACTTATTTAATTCACAAATTTAAAATTATATAACTTTGTTATTCTTCGTTTTTAGCATGACATTAATTTACATATGTTTTGTAAAGGATGGCGGTCTTGCAAAATAATTTTCCAATCACGAAACATTGCCGTAATCAGAGCAACAGATTCTAAATGTTTGGAATAAAAAACGAAAATATCTCAAAAGCCTTATACCTTAGAACTAGTAAATGTTTCTATAGTAAATAAAAGCACGTTGGGAATTAATTTTTTTCAGCATTTTTCGTAATTAAGCTGCATTTTTCGTTGATAAATCGGTAAATAGTGTGCATATTCTCATCTCTCTATCACTGAATTGTCGCCTATGACGTCAGAGCAGTATTTCGCAGAAATCCGACTGAAATATGCATATTGCAGTATTTGAATTTCAACTCTCAATATCTCTTAAAATATGCTTTCAACAACGTTTATTGTATTCAGTATTTTAATAAATAAAGTTGTAGATAATATTTTTTATAGAATTACGATTTTTGAAAGATCATGCGATAAGTCCTTTAATATCAGAGAATTTGCTTGTAGAAGCAGAATGATTTTAACAAAGAAAATCTGTAGAGGACCAATCACAATATATAAAAATAAATTTTGAGCTCCATTTTTATTGACGTTTTCAAAAAGCTTGATTTCTAATTTATCTTGAGTAATAGTTGTATGAAATGTTGAAAATGCAAATATTTTGGTGAATAATTCAATCTTAGGTGTTCGTTGGAAGGTTAAACATTGTTTTGTAATGATTATTTGGCGATTCTACATATCACGTTTTTTTGTTGGTTTTTTAATGGGATTGGGGACTTTAATGCTACTATTTTGGGAAAATAATGATTTCAAATTTTCTTAAAGTTTTTAGTGTTTTGAGAACCTACTTTTGATTTACAGGCCTTCTTCAATTTTTTATAATAAAGTAAGTCTTAAGTTCCTCCTTCATAGAAGCTAATATTTTTCGTCAGCAGGAAAGATAGGGGTTTGGTAGAATATTTACTATACCTTACAATGTATCTTTGTTTGTAATGGATTTTAACACCCCTACTAGCTAGTGTGTTCAGAACCTTTTATTTTTCGGTGTTCTGCAAAATATAAAACCCGAGGAGTACGCAGTAGCTCTGGCGAGATTTAGCGAGACTAAAGCGAGATAAGTAAATTATTCACCGAAATGTGGACAGGAAGTGACTAGCACGTGGAAATATGGTAAACAGAAAAGTCATGTTACGTTTCAGTTTTCACCACTGTATAATATCTGTAAAAATGTTCTTGAATTAATTCAAACTTTAAGTAGTATTCTTTATGACATTAAAGGTGCTTAGACACAGATTTGAACTAAATATTTTCTCAAATTTTCTGTATAATATCACGACTTATTTATTGCAAAAGCATTTCACACGAACATATAATTAAAATTTTATTTTATCTGGAAATTATTGGAACTACGAATTCAGGGACGCGTTTGATTAACACATCTTTGCACTTACACAAATTTTAACTTTATCCTTAATATTCAAGAAAAGAAGCGATTTTATTATGTATTAATGAAAAGTTTTTATCTATATTCCAGAAAATTCAGAGTAGAAATATTCGAAATCAAAACCAACTCACCAGTATTGTCAGTCCGTGCTCTGTGATGTGTACAGAGTTTAACAAATTGAACACACCCGTGAAACGTAAACTGTTTTTGTAAACAGGGCACGAGCTCTGTTATTGTTAATGTTTACGATTCACCGGGTGTGTTCAATTGTTAAACTCTGCACACACCACTGAGTACGGACTTACAATACTGTGAGTGGGTTTTGCTTTCGAACATTTCTACTCTGAATTTCTGGGTTATAGTTTTAATATTTTTCATTACAACACAACAAAATTGCCATTTTTCTGAAGTATTAGGAATAGAAATAAAATATGTGAAAGCGCAAGGATGTGACCATCCAATGCGTCCAGAAATTCGAAGATTTAATAACTTCGAGATGAAATAAGATTTTTATTATATTTTAGTATGAAATGCTATAGCAACATATAAGTCATGAAATAATACAGAAAATTTGAGAAAATATTAACTTCAAATCTGTGTCTAAGCACCTTTGAATTATAATCTGCAGTCATTTTTCAATCGTATATTCGAATATAGTATGCAGAATTATTGATTATATCTTCTAAATCTCTGAAGTAAAGATTAGGATTAACCCAGATAATTTAGTTACAACGCAAAAACCTTTTAATTTTCATTTTCACTATATTCACCTCTTCTGTCATTCAAAAGAAAGAATTTATTGCATGTAGGCAGATAAAACTTCAATATGATGTGCAGCTTATTTTACAATTTCTGCTTGTTTAGGGTCAAACCTGGAACACAAGTTGATTAATTGGTCAGGACAAAATTATTTTTATCGACACATATTACAATAAACGGTGCATCTACTGAAAAAAAAAGGGAAAAAAACTGGAATATTTCATATGGTCACGTTACTTTCTTGATCCTTTCTTTCTTATTTATAAAATTTATCAGAGTTTTCATTTGTCATTAAAAAAAAGCAAAATTCATGCAACTTTGCAAGAGACATATATCAATTTAGACCAGTAGAGTTACAATCCCTTCATAGACATTTGGTTCTTCAATAAACTCGTCCAGACTTGTTCCTTTTCAAAAGGAAATAAAAAACTTCCAAGACTACCTGAAATGAAGATTAAGTGGGTATCGCATATCAAAAACAACGGCCAAGTTTTATCATTTTAATCCATACGTGGTCTGACAATCTAGGAAATATCCCAAATATTGATGTGGATATTGTATGTATAGTTGGACTATATAAATGCATGTATTCTGTTGATCTGAAAATAAACAATAAGCAGCTGACATACGTCTATTCTCTATAGTGTGGGGATCTATATATACTACGATTTTAATACAAATAAATACTTGACTTGTCAGGTACAATGCTTATCAGAGCTGACTGATTCTCACAGATTTATTGTATACTCTGCTGGCTGATGTATGTTGAAGCTTATGGTTGTTTTACTTACGCTGACTCATGTGTAAGGACATGGCCCTTTCTCTTTTTGTAATTTTCTTGGTAGAAAATGCATTAGGATTAATTTTCAGAGTTATTTTCCCTCAATAAGAAAAAAGAAATAGAATTAGTGTAAAAAAATCAAATGATGGAAAACAAAATAATAACATGTGTCTTAAAATTATGTATGCTAATTTTGAAACTATTAGTCAAATTGTTATGAAAATTGCCAAACAGGACACAGAAATTAAATTTGTAATGTTCTTATCTATAAATCACAAGTATCAAAAGGACTTAAAATGCATTTTTTCATATAAATAATGACGTGAGCAAAGGTATAAAGCTAGAGATTTCCCACTGATATGAAACATTCTGAAAAAGATCGCCTGGAGAAGATCATCATTAAAAAATGGTAAGTTGAATTCATTCCCTATTTTAAGTATACAAACAATTCTGAATTCACAATTTTAAAACTGCAATAGTCATTAAGCCATTTTGCCAAACAATTTAAGTTCATATTTTCAACCCATTTGTTTTCAGAATAAACGTGCATTAGTGCTGATTTTGGTGGTGACACTTTTAGTTCAACATGTTCAAGAATCGGACGCTGGATGGGTAAGAAGAGGAATCAGAAAAATTGGACAGGGAGTGCGACGCGTAGTTCGACCTGTCAGAAGAGTAATTCGAAGACTACCTATTCGAAGATTCGGAAGAATTGGATAACCAACGTAAAACCGAAAGTGGAAGGACTTTTTCAAAGCCAATGGATATCGAAAACTTTTAAAAGAATTGACTTTTTAATGTCTTCTATTTGAGATTTCACTTGTACGTTTGGATATTTTGTGAAAAGAATTATGCTTACTTTAAATACAGTCTAAATTGATGAAAGTTCCTGCAGTCTGTTAATCTATCACAAAATATTTGTATTTACTTGTGTATTTTCAATGCTAAAAAACTTGTAAAGATTAAAAGACGAAAATAACGAGCAGTGGTAGATCTAAAAAAAAAAAAATCTATAAACAATACAATTCTATGAAGAGGACATAAAACACGGACCCCTGGAAATTTCAGATGTGGGATCAGGTGCCTAGGAAAAATAAGCGGCCCTTGTTGACCGGTCACACCATCCGTGAGCCCTATGTACTGATCAGGTAGACGGAACATTCTGTAGTCAAATTCAGTATTAAAAAAGGCCTAACAATTGGTATGAAACAAGTCAGCCAAAATTCAACACAATGATAGTTTGTATTTGATAACGAGGTCATTATAACGACCATAAAATTTACGAAATGCTGGCTTTAAATGAAGTTGTTGAAATCCCTGTAACATCAACTTATCTTTCAGTAGCCTGTCTCGATTTAAAAATTGATCGTATTCTGAGCATGCTCTTGAGTATCGAATAAGTTGGGAGATGTAAACACCATAAGCAGGCGATAGCAGGATATTACTACATAAATAAGAAAATGTTGACGATGGAAAAGTTGAAGTCATGTCGTTTGTCATACAATTTAGTTGTTAGTTGGCCCTTATCGTCTATAGTCAGAAAACATCCAAATATGAAAAAGAGGTGGCAGACATTGTGGTGTCTTTTATTTCAAGTTCACTGGGATATATCGAATCGACATATGAAATGAAAGTAACTATTGCTAATTGATAATACATCGTCAATATATCTAAATGTCGAGTTGAAGACCACAACAAGTGTTTTCTTCTTCTTATGTAGTCATTTTTTAAATGCTTCATAGGAATATTAAAACAGGTGCTAGTAAAGGAGCACATGGTGTCCATCGGTATTCCAGCAATTGTTGGACGACCTGGTCTCCGAAAACTACATAAATGTTGTCAATGAGGAACTCCAGCATCCTTTTGATATCATCTTCAGAGTACCTGTGTGTAGAATCAAAGTGATTTTAACAAAGTAATTTTGTTGATGACCAATCACAAGATAGGAAAATTTCCAACTTCCATTTTTATTGAAGAAGCGGGTATCTATGATATCAAAGAGTTCTAGTTTTTAATTTATCGTGAGGAATGGTTGTATAAAGTGTAGAAAAGCCGTACGTTTTGATGTTACTGACTTTTGAAAACTTTTGGCGATTTTGAATTTTCCTAAAGTTCTTTGGAGTTTTTGAGAATCCACATCTGATTTAAACAACTTCTAGAATATGCTGTAGCACAGTACATCTGAAGTTTCTCCTTAACAGCAGTTAATGTATTTGTAAGGAGTAATGATTAGGGCTTATTAAAGTATTTGCTTGACTCTGCAATGTATCTCTGTTTGTAAGGATTTTTATGAAGTTTAGGAATCCAGTATAGGTAGGATAGATCGAACTCATCTTGGTTGACTAGAATGTTAGAAGTTTTAAATATTGAAATGTGATTTTGAAGAATTTCATCTTTAGAAAGTGAATTAAAACCAAGATCTTCTAAAATACAGTTATAAATATGAGCCTTGCAAACAAAGATGGTATTGTTACAAGCCTTATCGGCTGGAACCATAACATATTGTTTATGTAGTCTTTCTAATTCTTTGATCACCTCCAATTTAGTAAAAACGGGAGGATAGATGGTTCGCATATTGCCTTTTAAATTTCTTGTACGATTCTTTAATATATTTCTAAATCATTTGATCCATTCAGACAAAATGTTCAGATCCCCCTTTTCATATTTAACCCAACGTCTGGCATAATCTTCGACAGAATTCATAATAGAAATGAAGTGCTGTCGACAATTGAAAGACAGGGGCTCCCTGTATTTAGGACCTTTTAATACGATAGCTTTAAGGTCTTCATTTTCAACTATATTAACAACACCAATAATGACGTGTCCAGCGGGACTGTAGTTGAAAGAAGAAGGGCAAGAACACTTCAGAAGATTTTGTTTTAGATGTTCAATATCTAAGCACTGTAAAGTTGAATAAAGATGCCCATCAAATAATGACTGGGGTCATTTTTCAACGTAGAAAAATCTTAAAATCTTAATTACATAAATTCTGCTAACCCTACTTAAAATCTGCAAATCCTACTTAAAGAAAAATGGCTCGCGTTGAAAAATGTCCCCTTAAAGGTTCTATTCAGCATGTTTTTATCTTTTTGGTATGACCTTCTGGGTCACAGGTTGACTAAATTGAATCTACCTTTCATAACAAAACACAGTTGGCTAATTCATTTAATGAGTGATGCTAAGTTTTCACTCAGTTTATCAATAAACTTTATCTGCGAGTTAGAAAGGTAGTAAAAATTAATCAAGCTCTTTAAATTAATTGGGGAAGTAAACATTTAACATATTAAGCATATATTCAAAATAATTCTGCGAATTCATATCAAAATATCAGTCAACGAAAAAAAAAAAGAAAACACTTTCACAGTAGATTTTATTTATTCTACTCCAAATTTATCTATTTAATTGTTTATTTTGACAATGTCGAAAATGAACCGAGTGGCTTTTTCTCAGCCCAGAATTTTATTATTGTTACAATAATAATATAACAATCTAACATTAAAATTTTATTATTATCATTTTTGGAGGTCCGTGTTTGCTCTGCTCCTATTTTGTATTGTTTACTGGACTTTTGAGCTTGAATACTGTTCGTTATCTCCATATATTTCATTGATAGAATATAAATCTTTAATTTGTTGATTCGGAGTATAGCGAAATACCAATTGCCATATTTATTGCCGATTCCTATTCCATATTGTCCCATTTATGTTGGAACTTACGAAAATCGTTGGTATTATTGAAGCACTTTTATAAAAGTAAATTGATACCTATAATTCATCTTTACTAAATTTTATTTATCATAGCTATGAAAATTTCCAATGACTTGTCGATTTTATTATGATTAGAAACAATTTCATTTACCATCACATGCAATGGTTGCTATGGCAATGATATGGAAAAGCAATTTACGTTTCTTTGTCAAACTATAATAATGTGCAAAGTTTAACAAATACGGAGACTATACATGCCAAAAAAGTTTAAGCAGTTACAGTGAACGGTTCTGAAATGAATTATTTTGTTCTAAACACCCGTATTACGCAAAATAAATACAAGTAGTTATAGAAAATACATTTCTTTTCCTGACTATCGTGTTTTTTTTAAAAAAAAAAAAAAAAAAAAACAATTTGTGACAGTTATCAAAAAATTTGGAGTTGAAGTTTGTCATTAATGGAGGAAGTGACCGTACTAGACATGAAAAATGTTTTATGCATTCCATATGATGAGATGAAATTTAAAATATGTTGTATCCAGCAGCTTGTTATTTTTCACTAAAACAAACAAGATATGAAGGAATGATTAAAGTTGTAAATTTATCATTTTTATTAAAATTTCAGAAGTAAATAAATTAATAAATTGATGATTCATAGATTAAAATGTGATTCAAAATAGGAAACTTATAACAAATGCATGACTTCACTAAAAAGGGGGGTCCGGGCCACTAGGTTCCCTCTTAAGCACTAACTTCTCCCCATTTAAAGCATTTGAAGATACAATCTTGATGCAAAGGACACAAATCTTGTAAATGATGGAAATATTCGACAAAATTCACGTATGAAATATTGTGATTCACGACGTTAAAATAAACTAGTCCTTAGAGATTCTTCAATGCAGATTTTGAACTTGAAAAAGCACCACAATACTTTGCAAATCTTTGAAAAACCGACCTCTTAGTGAGTGATACTATCAAATTAAAGAAAAAACTTAATTCTTCAATGTCTTGTCAGATCCTGTTAGGTAATGAAACTTCATAAACAAACCCTTGTGGTTACTTCATGTAATTAGAATGTGCTTACGTTGATGATTTATTTATTCAAATCGCACATTAGCTTAAAATAAATGTAAGCAAGAATACTTTTCAAAATACAAATTCTTTATATAACAATTGCAAAAAAATGGTATTCCTGAAAGCGATCAAATTATTTTCTCTGTCAAAAAATGAACACATGCATTCTTATATAATATATCCAGACATAGTATGTATCCGACTTCACAACTCGAACGCTGCAAATCTATTCGCTTGTATTATAAAAAAAGAAAATACTGAAATGGGACAAAATGTTACAAAACAAGTACAAACATATATTTTAAATCCAGATTTGGTCCGACATATATAGGTAAAATTTCAAAAGTAATATAAAGCAGATGCGGTAGATGTAACTGGTTTTAAATTCGGTGTTTTACATGTACAAATAGAGAAGCAATTAACATTATTATGCAATATTCTAAAATAACATATTATTTTTCAGTTGCATCATTAATACAGATTTTTAATAGCTTACTTGAAATTCTTCATTTTGCATGCTAATACATGCAGATTGAATTCATTGTTTTGACGACGGATAAATCTAATGACTTGTATTTATGTGACAGAAAATGTCAATGTACTTGTGTATTGAATTTGATAAGTGGAATTAATTTTAAAATTAAGATGAAGACAAAATAGAACATGAACAAAAAATGTCTTGAAATTGTGTACCCAAATTGTGTAACAGTTCAAAATGTTACCATTTGATCAGGACTTTAAAACTAGGTATTGTAATTATATCAGTGATGACAGGCGTAAAGGTATTCAAGTGAGCAATATTTGCACTAATCTAAAAAAATAAAGAAGAAATCGACTCAACGAAGAAATGGTAAGATGGATTTTTTCTCAATTATTGAAACAAGGAGATTTAGTGTTTTGTAGTCAAGATGCAATATATTATATTTGAGCTAGCTTCAAAAATGCTTCCCAAATTTTTATCATTTATATTATTTTTAGATTAAAGGTGAATTACTGATGTTGGTTGTTATGATTTTACTTCAATATGTTCAGAAATCGGACGCTCAGAAGTCCATGCCAAAGATTTATATCTTTGGGGTGGAAGAAGTTTTGCTCGATTCGGAATTCT